ATGTGTGTGTGTCTGTGTCTTCATCCTATGTGTACGAAAGGGTATTTGCATTAAAATTGTTCAAAATCTAATTTTGCAATGTTGATAGTTTAAAATCCATTAAAATTCACAAAAATTGTGGAACTTTTCTAGCAATTTGCAGCATTTTTTGAATAAAATCAATAAAAATTCCATCATTCTATTAGCTTCTCTTTTAATGACTAAAATTCATTTGTATTGTTTTAGAAACTTTGAACGATCTATATCGCCTTTTCATAACAGCCATTGCTTAACTTACTCATTTGTGCTTTGATTCAAAGTGTTGATTGTCCCCCTTTCCCGCTCGAACGCTGAGATTTTTTTGTTGAGTCATTCTTGCAGTTGTTTATATATAGCTTCTGATGTTTATCGTGTCAAAAATAGCAATGATCTACTGTTTTTCTATCGATCAAAACCTTTTATTCAAAAAAGAAAAATTAAAATGTAAATGTATAGAACTTGTAAACTCTTTTTTGCACCTTAAAAAGTAGAACTTTCTTTTCATTTGGGCAAGGATATTGGGGTATTTTGATTTCATAAATATTCTATTGCCATATTATGTTCCCTTTCATTTCTATCTCATAGTTAGTCATTAAAAAACTTACTTTTTTGCGGTTTTTTCTAAGTTTCGCTTCTTGTTCGTCATTTTATATCTGTATTATGTCATAGGCACTGCTCAAAAGAATTTTTAAATTAAAGTTCAAAATCTCAAATCTAGGTCGTAAAAAATTCTAATTTTCATTAAATCTCAATCGTCTTGCTCTTTTGAACTGTTTACTTTTCTGCAGATCAGTTGAATTTTACATGCGTCAGACACTTATAAGGCCTTTCAAAAATTTAATATCCTTTCTTTCTATTGTTTTATTAGTTAGAATCTTTGCAATATCAGGTTGCGAGTCCAAAGACTAATCATTTGGTTTCTTAAGTCGAGTAGGTAATCTCTTTATTTTTTCAGGTGATTTATAAGTACAGAATTAAAGTAATCATGTATTACAGATGCGTTCCTCATAATCCTGATTTCTGATTTGTTTCCATGTTTGTTTTGATGCAAAGTTTTTTAAATGAATGTTGTAACTTTCCTTATCACTTCTTTTCTTCTCTCCTGTGACTCTCAGACCTCAGTCATCTCTGACTTGGAAATTTTCATTTGCTGATTTCATCAGTTGCAGTCATAGTGGCGGCTTCCGAGTTATCATCGTTTGCTTCCCGCGTATGGGGAGGTCTGCAATCGGCCGTCGGAGCGTCGAAGACAGCCCGTACCGATGCCAAGCAGAAAAATGCTGGGCACAGCGTTGAAAATGGAGTAAGTACAGTCATTGCAGAGTAAAAATGTTTTTTTTTTACAACAAACTATCCATTCCAATTACCGATGAACACATACAAGTATTTCACTAGCGAAGAGTAAACCCAAGAAAAAAGAAACACCAGAGAACAGAAGAAATTATGTATGGTTGCATGCCTTTCAAATGAATCATCGTTTTTTTAAGTCGTCAACGATAGAGTT